TAGCGGGGCTGTTTTTCACGATAAGGTCCAACGTTGTGGTAGACTTGTAGTAGATGTTGAGTTGCAGTTTTGTGTTCTGTTTCTTCGGTGTAGTATTTTTGTAAATGATATCCTTTAGAATCCGTTTGTCTGTCTTGTATGCAGTGGAGTTGTCAGTAGTGGTGTTTTTTTGGCGGCTGTCCAGGTATCGTTGAAGTGTCTTGTCGTATGTGGTATTACTATATCCATTATTGATGAATGTTTGTCGGAGTGTACGAATTCTTTTGTGAAATATATAATACTTTATATATAATATATTTTAATCTCCCTCTGTATGTTAAACTATATAACATTTAATAAAATGATTTTCATAAAATGATCTCTTATTCTTTTTACAAGAATACCAAAATGGAAATGTTCGGGCAAAAGTATTTTCTAAAATATAGTATTTTCCATAGTACACTTAATAATGTGTTTTTAACAGTTAATGGGCTGTTATTTGCATTTATGACATGAGATTTATGTAAATTTATCCTTAAACGTAAATTTTCTGTTTCTCCAACATATATTTGCTTACAACAAGTACAAGATAATATATAAAAACATTATGTGAGTCACAACTACATCTAGAGTTAATAAAAATATATAGACACACACACATATGCCTGGAAAACACACACTTTGTGCATATAGGGCCGGACTCGGGACTTAGAGGGAGGGGTCAAATTTGTAAAAGAGCTCTCAAACACTGAACTTCATAAATAAGTCAAATACAATTATATGCTGTTTATTAACCGCAGTTTGATGATTACAAAAGCGATTGGTAGTTGATATACAAAATGTTTATTGTAAATGTTTATTAAATATAAAAGTGATAATTGATTGTTTTGTTAAATGACCAAATTGTAAGAACAGGTTAACAAAATAATATGTTTATATGAAACGACTAAAATGTCTGTTGTCGTATGACACAGTTGCACACATTTGCCTCACTACCCTTAATCCGTACCTGTGTGCATACCGAGGTTATATTATAATTTGTCGACCAATCTATATTATTTAAAGATGTTCTTTGTTTCCAGCCTTTATAGCTCTGTACAAGTGATGTTCATCATCTCCATTTTCGTGACTTACCTTCTGCAGTTCTACGTTCCGTTCCAGTTCATTTGGCCGTACTTTAAGAAGACATTTAGACTAGAAGAACGGGTGTCAAGAAGAACCCAGTTAGCGCTGGAGTTGCTGCTTCGAACCCTGCTCGTCTTTATAACTTGTAATTTTTGTTTTTATAAATTATTCTGATTCTGTCTAGTAAACTACGTAATATTAAGACAAAACTTCGATTTACAGTTTCACTATGTGTTCAGATTAGGCTTCTATTTCTAGTATTATGTTAATGTGGGAAACAGAGTTCCTTATGGTGAAGAGCGAACGATTTTAACAGTTTCTACAATCTATTTAAGATATTTCAGGGATAAATATTAAATTATTTATTTAGTTTTTGTTTATAAGGTTTGTATTTATGGTTATATGTTTTTCATAGTTTCTCTAGCAGCTTTTATTCCAAAGCTTGACTTGTTTATCCCTGTGGTGGGAGCCGTGGCCAGCAGCTCTCTTGCTCTAATTTTTCCTGCAATTCTAGAAATTGTTGTTTTCTGGGATGCTCCAATGAGTAAGTGAAAATAATTCTTTTTCATTTTTATTAGCTATTTTTATTCTTATTTAATTCATTAAGTTTTACAAACAAGAAATTATTTCCGTTTAAGTTTATTATTTTCTTAATACACAATTGACCATCAAATTTACTTCTTTTATACAAGATCTTTAAGAAATATGTTTAGCAGACAGCAAAATAGTTTTAAATAAACAGACTATCTTTAGAATTGTCTATATTATTAAAAGTAAGAAGATGGCTTGAATAGGTAATGAAGAAAACTTTATTATAAATGTACAACGTTTCGACAAGATTATGTCATCATCAGGTACAAGTAGTTAACATAGACACAGGAATATATATATACTGTTCCTATCTGCTTGTTTGATAATTTCCGTAAGAAATTCTTTCCGAGGAACTTCAGTAATACAAGTCCTTTCTTGATTAAAACTAGTTTATTCTTTCTCGATACAAACTTTGTAATAAATAGAATTTCCAATCAGTAAGTTAAACTTAACTACTTTTATAACACACGCTATAAATCACAGTGATCCACACACTTTACTTACGGTGCCTACTGTTCGCTTGATTTAATTATCTATATCTCCTATTCCACTGGTTTTTCTCTTTATATACTAAAAAAGAGGACGTCTAGCAAACACTCGGACATTCGCGGGGTTACTCGATAATTCATGATCTTTCGAGAAACTCCAGTGTGCATGCTCCCAGCATCACGCGACTTCCGCTGTCGTAACACTGCCTCTTCCTTAGTATTGTTCGTCCCGAACAATAGCCACTTACTTTAAACTAATAGATAATTAACAATAACTTAATTAAATGTCCAGAATTTACAAATACAAAATTAAAATACAACAAAGTATCTTAATTTTACAGGACGTTTCTTCTTTCGTACTGGTCTCCATCTCATTGGCTTCTACTTCACGTAAAGTTCATCTGCTCCATCAGGAAATGTCCTATTATCGGTAAAAGTCACATCAGTGGTAGTAACTTCATCAAGGGCTTCACTGTTTCCCTTCTCAAACTTGGGTTCCTTCTTTGACAGTGGCTTTTTCAGGTGACACGTCTTCAGCAGCATCATTTGTTCCATTGTTCACTTCGTTCCAACTGGAATGTCCTGGACCGTGATAACGCCAAATCCTGTTGGCATGCACCACCTTTGGCTTAC